CGCCCCGCCCCGCCGCGGGCCGGTCCCCCCGGGCGCCCCGCTCACCCGTGGGGATGCCCAGCTCCTTGGAGCCTCTGTCGAACCCCTTCACCACCTCGCCGCGGCAGAAGGCGGGCAGGCGCCTCACGGCGCGCAGCTCCCAGCCCGGCGGAGCCGCTTCCAGCCGCGCGCAGCGCTCCCCTCCGCCGCGCTCTGGGGGCTACGGAGAGGAGGGAGGAGGGAAAGGGAAGAGGAGGAGGAGTTGCCGGTGGAGCGCTCCAGTCCTCAATTCACAGAACTCTCCGCCAGGCACCTACCTCCCCTCAAAAATGGGCTCGCTCGCACCCCACCCACCCACGCCGGCGGCGTGGAGGTCCCGCGCTGCTCAGGCGGCCCGCTCGCGGGGGCCGCGCTGCCTCTCGTCCCTTCTCCCGGCCAGGCCGCGGGGCCCTGCTCGGAGGGAAGAAGGGGGGCCGCGGGGCCAGCGCGTCGCGCAGGGCCGGCTGCGGGCGGGGGCTCGCCCCGGCAAGGAAAGCCTGCGCGGCGGGAAGGGGGTCGTTGGTTTTGGGAGCTGAACCGGGGGGTGTCTCCGGAGGCAGGCAGGCAGGCAGGCGGCAGGGCTCGGGGCGAGCCGTCGCCGGCCGCCAAGCTCACGGGGGTGTCCTTCCCTGCGGCCGACAGGCTTCGTCAGGCTGCGCTCTCGGGGAGCAGCTGAGTCTGGCGCGGCCGGCAGCCTTCGTGCGAGGAAGCGCAGAACGTGGGCGAGGCCTCCTGGCGGTGACGGGCAGCTGCCAGGCCGTGCTCTGTAAGCGCCGGACCGGAGAAGTCACGTCTCGCGCCCTTCGCCCCTGCCTAGAAACGGGGAATGGCTCTGCCCCGGTAATTCTGTTTTTCCTTTTTCTTTCAGAAAAAGCTCAAATACCTCACAATACGGCAGACGTCTGGAGGAATCTGTGAAAATAGGGTTTTTTTCTTTTTTCTGTTTTTTGTTGGGGTTTTGTTTTGGGGGGGGGGGTGTGGTCATTAGGTAGTTATGACAAACTATAGTTGCTTGCTAGAGGTAAATAATTTGTGCTCTCCCATGATTTGTCAGCCTAGTACTGCAGGGTTTTCCTTCGGGAAAACACAGCCGGACAGAAACACTCGTCCTGTATTCACTCCATATTGGAAAGTAAAGCCCACCTCAACACTTCTTAAATTCCTGTTTGCAGTCACTTTTCATGTCATAGCTGTGTTGAAACACTGCTTTAATATGCCCAGCTGATTAACACTCTCTTTTCTATAGGCCTGATCCAGCTCAAATAAATTGAGTTTGCATTCAAGATAGCAGATACAGGTGCATATTCAGGCTTCACTACATAGCAGACAACCTAAGCTGGTCTGTTAATGTCAGCGGTATATACGCCAAATAAGTCTTGGGGGTCTTATTCAGGACTGCTATAGTGTACTTGCACGTATTTATATAAAAGCACATACCAATATCTTGAAAGATCATCAAAGTCCCTGAACTGAACTCCCAGTCTTTTCCAATTATTCCTATAAGTCACAGTTGCTAGCCTTACCAGTTTGATATAACTAGTAAAAAACTGCTGCTGGAGTTACCTCTAATTCTGTTGGCTAATTTTTTATAAGGTGTTGTGGTTTAACCCCAGCCAGCAATTAAGCACCATGCAGCTGCTCGCTCACTCCCCTTCCTGCCCTTGCCAGTGGGATGGGAGAATCGGGGGGGGGAGGGGGTAAAACTTGTAGGTTGACATAAAGGCAGTTCAATAGGACAGAAATGGAAGTGAAAATAAGAAGAGAATATACAAAACAAGTGATGCACAATACAGTTGCTCACCACCTGCTGAGCAATGCCCAGCCAATCCCCAAGCCACGGTGCCCCCCAGCCAACTGCGCCCAGTTCATGTACTGGGCATGATGTATTATGGTACGGAATAGCCCTTTGGCTCATTTGGGTCAGCTGTCTTTGCTGTGTCCCCTCCCAGTTTATTGTGCACTCTCAGCCTCCACTGGCAGGGCAGTATGAAAAGCTGAAAAGTCCTTGGCTTAGTATAAAGAGGGCTTAGCAACAACTAAAACACCAGTGTGTTATCAACATTATTCTCATCCTAAATCCAAAACACAGCACTATACCAGCTACTAAGAAGAAAATTAACTTTATTCCAGCCGAAACCAGGACGTAAGGAAAAGCAGCCCAAGTACCTATGATGTGTTCATATCTAATTGCAGTCAAAGTTGGTGGTAGCCAGTTCATTCTAATGATGGGGAACTGTCTTGAGAAACTGATTATGTCACACCACAAAATGCTGAATGCTACCAATTCACGGATCTGTGGACACTAGTTGTTTTATAGGTTAAAACCAAAATTATTTGAAAAAATGATTCCACCTCAAATTTACCCTCTCTTCAATTCTTTTGTCTCTCATCCTACTTCCCAACCGTTTAATGCTAACATTTTAATTCATTGCTTCAGTTTGAGTAACTTTGACTGACTTACAGAATCATTACATAACTTCAGCTGAACAAAAAAGAATGGTGGTAATATATATAAAAGAAGGAAAAGTGGAAGAAAAAGAAGTCCTAAATATGCTACTAGTGCTTACATTCTGCTCTGCCATCTGACAGCATGGAGAGAGAGATGTTACAAAAAGTTTTATTTAATGATATTTAGTAATCGAACTATCTGGGAACTATCTAAGCCCAAATATCAAAGTTGTTACTTGGTTGCCTAATTAATAACCGTAGACGATGTGACCACTCGCCCCTGGAATTTTGAGTTTATTTCAGCTGTAGAGCAAAAAAAAATTGTGAAGCAGGTACAATTATATTGTTCATAAAATGTTTATAATGAATTATGCCTTTGGTTATAATTTGCATATAAGGAGATGTATACTTGCATGCTTCCATTCTTTTTTAATTAATACTTCTTTCTGGAATAAATTTTTACGGTTTTGTGGCATCCACAAGATGGCACTCGATCTCTTTTTCAGTATCTGCAGATTTGGGCACAGGGTTTACAAATCTATCTCAGTAAAAGAGAGTAACAGAACAGATCTTGAGAAACTAAGTCAGATAAATATTTGCTTAAGAATTACATGGTTACTAATTTCACAGAAGTCTCACTGATGGCTTATATCTCATTCTGTCAAATAGTTGTTAATATTAATCCTTCTCAGTCATGATGGGTTGCTGTGATCCATGGTAAAAATTGTTCATCCTTGATACTGGACACGTTTTTCTTTTGTAATAAACAGTATTTAGTTCAGCTTGGAGGGAGGATTTTACATAAGTAGAATTTAATTACCTGTATTCAAATTTAGTAGACATGTTTCTTCAAAAAGTGTAGCTGAATTTTAGTTACAAATGTGTATGCCAAGAGAAGCAGTTTAGTAGCTCATACCTGCACTTAGAAAACACAGGCACTGTATCACACAGATGGAATAGAATTTCTGCTCTGTGCTGATGCTACATTTTTTACAGCTATTGTTAGTGCAAAGTCTTTAAGTATTTTTTCTACTGTACATAATAGCCATAAAAACCTAAAGAGAGCAGGTGATGCGTCATCTGTGTAGGCTTTCTTTTGTCCAGGAATAGCCTGCATTGGCCCTCACTTTCATACTTTTTATAGAAAACTGAAAAGGCCTTGTTAATTTTCAAGCTGCAAGGGAGAAAGGTTTTCTACCTATGCAGCAGCATCAGAAAGAGAAGATAAAAATGGTGGCCCTGGTGACTCACATTGCAGGGAGGAGGTAGCAAAGGAAATGGCTGCAACGCTTTTTCCTGCTTGCTTGTTATTATTTGTTAAGGTCATACTCTTCCTACCTTTCCTGGGCTGTACCTTGATATGAAAAGGAGTCCTTGGCACACAACAGAGGTTGCCATTACAGCCTTGTTCACACACTAAGCAATGACCAAGCAAACAGGAAAAATTGTGGTGAAAATTTTCCCACTGTTAAATGGAACCAGATGTTTATAATACTCCTGCCATCACTCATATGTGATGCTGTCTCCCAAACACATGCAGGGAATGTCTGCATTTGTTACAGCACTAACCAGTATTGGGAGCCTTGCAGGAGACATTGAGGAGTTTGTGATCTTGAGCAAGCCATGTCTATAGCACCTTGTACTTAAGGCCCATGTGTTCGCATGAGTAGATGCTGTAAGGGAACCTGCGGGAGTGACCCATGCTTGCCTGTGCTGTGCGCTGATGATGATATGACAGCGATAATATTGCAACCTGTCAGGAGAAGATATATGTTCATGTTTGTTACACGAAAGAAAAGCCACTGCAGCATGGGAGGGAGGACAGAATCTGCACAGCATGATGTGGGGGAAATCCATCCTGGATCCCTCTGATGCTGCACAAAAGCAGGGTGCCCTGTGTCTGAAGGGACATAAGATTTACACATTGTCTATATTATTCTTTTTATTCTACTTTATTAAAACAGTTGTTTTATTAAGCCCTGTGTTGTTGGGCCTTTCTTGCAGAGATCCAGAAACGGCCCTGCACCATTTATTTATCTTTTTCACCTCCCCACCCAGCCAAGTACAGAAAAGCAACCCCTCTTTCACTTAGGGCAGTACTGGAAAATATCAGTCCATGTATGTTACTCAAAGTTAGCATAATACATCAGATCTCCCACAGGAGTGCCTGAAAAGCCATGTGTTCAGATCCCATGTTTCTGTAGTTTTTTGGGAATAACATATAGAGTACTTTTATGAAGGTGGCATACAGAAAGACTGCCCAGAGGTAAATCTTGTAAAAAATAGATGACTTGCTGAAAAGTGGAAAAACGTTCTGCTGATCCTAGTAACTCTGCTATAAAAAAAAGAAATCCACGAAGATAAACAATATACAGCAAAAACGTCACTGAATGAAAATTCAGAAATAACAGAATTACTGCCAATTTCACAGAAAGTTGACAAAATTGCACCGTATCAAAAAAAGAGATATGGTGAAATCTGAGTGGATGTTGAAAGCTTGATGACAAAGAAGGAGCAAAGTAAGGACAAGAATCTAATGCTGTGCATGTTAATAATGTTGAAAGGAGCTTTGGCTCTGTGGTCCTACATTAGCATTAATTTGTTTGGATATGCTGGAAGAAAAGCGCTGATACTGTCGCAGAAGTAACTGGAATACAATTTAGATCAGGTCAGAACAGAAGCAGTTTATTACTGTCGCTATAAGAGAGAATATAGAGCAGCAGAGGGACCATCCCTGTTGATGCGAACTCTGCCCAAATGGGGCAGCTACAGAGTTGATATAACTGCAGGTTTTACAGCTCCTTCTTCCCCAAAACTGTGTCAGATAAGCAGGATATGGTAGATAACAACAACGATTTAAATCCTTAAGATAAGGAGGCTCTATACAGTACATCCTTTTATAAATAATCCACTCCTTTTATGAATAATCCACTCCTTTGTAATTAAATCTTGCTGACTGGCAAGACCCTTAGCTGCAAATGTTTCTTAACTAGGGAGGCCTGCAGAGGCCTGTGAGACATTAACTATTTTTCTTCCACAATACTGGATTCTTTTTTTCTTCCTTTCTAAAAGTAGCAATATCAGAGAATATTGCATGAAATTATTTTAGCTAGATACTTTGTGCCACCAATCCTAAAGTCTGCAACATCAGCAAAATGCAAATAGGAAGCTAAGGACCCAATACCCATTTGTGCAACAACTGAGGGTAAAACACTGACATTGTAAAAATGTGTGTATTACAACAAAATCAAAGATGCTGCTCATGTTATACAGTACCACATAGGTTTAATAATTTCTAATGGAAAGGAAATATATGTTTATCTAGCAAAAACATGAACACAACAGGATATAAAACAGTTTATTGTGAAATTGTTTTTGTCTGCTATAACAACTAAACAACAAAACATCTTCAACAAAAGGAGGAAGGAGAAATGAAACTGGAATTTAAATGAAAAAAATCAGCTGTGAAATAGTAATAGAATGTAGAAAATCAAAGGAAAGGCTTGAGCAGAGCATTGCAGAGGCAAAGTCTGCACTCTTTCAGAAAGACCCTCCAATTAGATCACCTTAAAGCAATTGTGAGACCAAGCTGTGAAATTAATGAAATCCAAGAAAGGAAACCAGCTCAGATATTAACTCAGAACTCCTGATGAATGCATGCATACATACGTACTTTTTTTTTTTTAGTTTTTTTTAATAGTTATATACATAATACTGTCATTTTATTATTTTTACTTCAGGAAAGGGGACTTTCTAGGATAATTGGGACTGTTAGTAAATAAAATTTGTAAAATTTTGAAAGGTTGAAGTTCGTATAATTTGTTAGTTTCCCAGGTTACTGTCTCAGGAGGAGCTTGATTGATTGTCCTTGTGTTTTAGGTTTCCTGTGGTTAAAATACAAGCTTTTTCCAGCTTTACCAGAATCATCTTTCATCATTCCTGCCAGAGAAGCCAGCAAGAGAAGGAGTAATTCATTTCCCAGGCAGTTGTATTGTGCCAGACCTGCTTCTCACTTCTGCAGTGCAATCAGCAAGTCATGTTTTTTTAACTGGATCAGAGCAGGAAAAAGTCATCTAGAGGCACAATGAGAAGCCCTTAATTTACCCAGTACATGTTTTGTACTTAATTTTAGCAAGCCAAGGCTGCAATCCATTTCTATTTCTATTTTCTAAATCCATTTCAATTTTTGATTCTGTAATTGCAGCTAACTGCTAACCAGTCTCTTGGAAGAAGCTTGTCTCAGGATGGCCTTGATCTGACATGGTTTGTTCGTATTAAACTACTTCAAAACTCACCTGAAAAAAGTTGCCTATCAAAAAGATGACTATTTGTGTAAACTCACAGCGCGTAAAATGAAAAACTGTTTCTGGTGCATATTACAGATATTCATTCATACAGAAGAAGCAGGCGTGACCTTCCCTTATTAACTCTCGCGATGAGTCATGCTCATCTCTGTGACTGAGCACTCAGACATGGTAAGTCTGCTTGTCTGCTTCAAAGTGTGTTTCCCGATCCTCAGTTTAATTGATCAGACTCTTCCAGCTGGAAAGAGATGGGAGGAGAAAACTGCTCCTGACAGACTGAGGGGTCAGTCCCTCCTTTCTAAGCAGTGAGAAGACCAGCAGCTTCTGCCTGCCCCAGTGCCTGGAGGTCACTGCTGCAGCCCAGACTCCTCAGCAGCTTCTGGGTTTTCTGACTGCTCACTGCCTGCATCCCAGCTAAATGCATTGGACCCTTTCTCAACCACTGTTTGCCAAAGAGACACCATGAAAAAGCATGGCAAAAAAGTGTTAATTCAACATGATATTATTTGTTGTTGACCTCTTAAACCTTTCTGATGGAGCACAGAATGAAATGCAATGCTAGAAGTCAAGGGACCAGGGCCTGAAGCAGAAAACCAATCCCTGTCACTAGCCTAGCCCCAGTCAAAGGAGTTATTTAAATGGAAAGCAGTGAGTCAAAGTGGCCCAGCTGGATTATGGTGTTTGGCTCTTCTCCCTGCTCTCCTGTCACTGTCAGAGCAGGTCCCTCAGTCAGGAACCAGGGCTAGCCAGGGGACCAGAAGCACACAGCATGATTCTCTTGGCAACAGGAAACACTGGCACCATCAACCCTCCAAAATACTTTCTGTTTCTGAAAAGCAGTTGAAGAGCACCTGCTGGGTGCATTCTTTGTGAGGCTGGTTTAAAACCAATAGTGAGGGTGGAGGGTCTTACTAGAGACAACAGGCCACAACAGAGGTACGAAAAAGAAGCTCCAATGGCAATTGCTGGGTTGAGTTTTGCACACAGGAGGATCATAGAACTGTTTAGGCTGGAAAAGACCTTTAAGATTATCGAGTCCCACTGTTAGAGAAGGAGGGAGGAAGAACATAGTCTGCTTCAACTGCAGTGCTTTCACTCAGAGGCACAGAAAAAATCCATCTGTTAGTTAGATTCTATATTCACATGCATTAAAAGTATCCTCCGAGGTCCTTGGCTGTGTGGGTGAGGAGGTGTGAGCCAGGGATGATGGAGGAGGAGCAGCAAACTGGGGATAGGTCAGCAGGGTTTGTCAAACACTGTAGGTACTCTTTGCATCTTGGGAATTATCCTTCTCTCACCCTTTCATTTAGGATGAATGTCCTAATCTGTAGCTGAGGAAGCTTAGAAGAAGGGATTTTAAAGCCTTTCATGAGATACACGTGACTGCAGGCACAGTGTGATTTTTGTTTTGCACAACAAGGGCGCAGGTACTATCAGAAAAGGGCAGAGCAGCGTTGGCTGTGTAATACATAAAGTATACAGATGATTAACATAGGGAAAATAATTAGCAATCTTTCATCATTTTACTGCTGCTGAGTGCAGCCAAGCCCCTGAGAGCAGCCCATCTCAGAAGCAATATGAAGCCAGCAGAAAGGGTAGGGTATCATGCCTGACACTTGTATTATTTCAGCTCAGCAGCAACACCCTACATAGACGGAATGGCAATTTTCCAACATTAAAGTGGTTTTAAATATGTAAAACATTTTAAAAGGCCCAGAAGGCTTTGGGCACTCGATGTTCTGGTTAGAATGGCACCTGCTGCCTTAATCCACCATGACCCTGTAACTGTGGCATCTGATCTGACTGGAGGAGAACAGCTGTGAACCAGGAGTACTGGTGCCTGCAGTTATATTTCTTCAGATGCAGGACTTTGTATTTTCCTTTGTTGAACTTCATGAGGTTAATTTCTGACCATTTCTCCAGCTTGTCCAGGTCCCTCTGAATGGCAGTGCAGCCACCTAGTCTAGTCACTCCTTCCAGTTCTGGATCATCTGCAAACATGACAAGGATGGACTCTGTCCCATCATCCAGGTCACTCATGAAGATGTTAAACAGTATTGGCCCCAGTATTGACCCTGGGGTACACCACTAGTGGCTTGTTCCCAGTTGGACTTTTTGCCACTGATCACAACTTTCTGGGCCCTGTCATGCAGCCAGTTTTCAGACCACCTCGCTGTCCAATTTTGTAGCCCATACTTTATCAGTTTGTCTACAAGGATGTTTTGGGAGACAGTGCCAAAAGCCTTACTAAAGTAACGGTAAACAACATCCACTGTTGGATCTGCCCTCCCCTCAGACACCAAGCAAGTCACCTCATTGTAGAAGGCCATCACATTGGTTAAGCTTGATTATCCCCTTCATAAATCATAGTGACTACTCCTGCTCACCTTCTTGTCCTTCATGTGTTTGAAACTCGTGTCTAGGATCAGTTGTTCCATCACCTTTTTAGGGATTGAGATGAGGCTGACCAGCCTGTAATTCCTCAGATCTTTTTTCTTGGCTTCTTGATGACAGGATTGTCATTTGTTCTCTCCCTGTCGTCATGACCATTCAAAGCATGGTCTTGCAATGACATCACACAGCTTCATCAGCACTCGGCCCCATGGATTTATGTATGTCCAGTTTGTCTAAGTGGTCCCTAACCTAGTACTCATCCACTGAGGGTAAGTTTTCCTTGCTCCAGACTTTCCCTAGGGTCTCAGGGACCTGGTATTCCTGAAAACTGGTCTTATCAGTAAACACTGAGGAGGGAAGGCACTGAGTACCTTGGCCTTTTCCATGTCATTTGTTAACAGGTCCCCTGCACCATTCAGCAGCAGGCCCATGTTTTCTCTAGTCTTCCTTTGATCCTTGATCAAGTACCTGGCCTCACAAGGTCCCTAGATTATGGCTGCTCCAAAGAAATACTCCTGCCCTGTGTCACAGAATGGAAGCCCTCTGCAAAGTGTGGTGGGAAGAGACCAGGCTGCTCTGATGGGTGTCAAATCCAGCAGAACCCTTTGAGGCAAATCAGACTATTTCAGGTCTTGCCTTTCATTGCTGCAGATGATTGTAACTGCTACAAAAAGCATTAGTGAGACTGTCCCATTTGCTCTTAGTGACTTGTACCTCCTCCTCTCCGGGTTGCCCCTTCTGCTCTTCCTGGCATGGAACCTCAGCAAACTCTGCAACCTTGTCAGATCTTCGAGCAAAGCTTGCTGCACAGTTTCCTGAATCAATGCCTCCAGCATCAGCTTGATTTCCATGTGGAGTATCCCTGACTGTCCTGTAGGATTCCCAAGGGGCTGCAATTCCTAGTAGGGAGATAGGGCTGCTGCAGGAATGCCCAGGTTTCCTGCAAGAGGCCCTGCCTCAGGACTTGCTGCCCCTCACCCTCCTGCCCAGGCCCTGGCAGTAGGGTTGGCAGAGAATGGGGGGCACTGGGTCCTGCAGGTGAAAAGCAGCTGGGCTGAGAGCACAGCAGGTTGGAGGAAGAGGAGCATGAGGAGTTGGAGGAAGCACAGGAGAAGCAGAGCGGGCATCAGGGTGATTTGCTCCTTGATGAAGGGCTCAGAACAGACATTTGCTCCTTCCTAGAGCTCATCTGCATGAGCAGGGGCTTTGGGCAGGTGGCATGGATGCAGCCTGTCTCTGCATGAGCTCCCACACATGTGCAGCTGTGCACATGTCTACGGGGACAAGCCAGTCCTTACCCTGAGGAAGGTCTTCAACCTGGCTCCAAACTGCGCATAAGCCCTCCTATCCCACAGCTTCCAGTGCTACCTGCATGCCTCCCAGGGCAATCAACACTTCCCTAATGGTGCCAACTCCAGTGGGTACTCTGCCCCTGGGCTGTGTGGCCAAGCATGCAGTTACTGACTGTGGGGCTGGAAGGGGAGGTAAAGCCCAGAAGTTTGCTGCTCTGTCCACCACAGAGTTCCCACCTCTGCACCTTCCTCTCTGCCCCCATTTTTCAGCCGTCAAAAATCAAGAGTGACAAGGCCCAGTGCCAGGCTGGCTGGGCTGCCATCCTTTAACACAGGGGTCCCAGTAGGTCCATAGCAGTGGGACTGGTTGAAAAACTTAGTCTTCAGTTCTTCTAATCTGTCTTGCTGCTCCACTTCTCCAGTCCTCATAGAGATCAGCTGACAGGAGTTTGGAGGGGATGTTTCAGAGCAAGTCCTGCAATGCCAAGATCTTCAGCTGAGGCTTTGGACACTTCTGCTGGAACATACCTGTAACTTTGCCTCAGGAGGAGGCAGCTTGGTTTTAGTCACCTCCTCTTGCTGTTACCATTGACACTGCCAGAGCAGGCAGCTTCCAGTCTGTGTGCCAAGCAATCTTGCATTAGTCTGTTAACAGCACAGAGCTCTTCTCTGCTTTCCCTTCACTCCTAAATCTCATCATGCCTCCCTGAGCAGACTGCTGGAGAAGAGCATGAAGTGAGCTTCCCAGGGGCTTCCAAGTAATCAGGGGCAGAAACAGAGGAACAGAATAGGAGATGATAGAAAATTTAAACACCAATTTTTTCTCAGCCTGAATCATGGAGTTTTGGCTTTACTGCAGCTTTAGCCAGGAGTCCCAGCCAGGTCAAACCCAGTCACTGAAGTGAGCTCTTCCAGGTTCACAAGGAGCTCATTCAACACACATGAAATATCACAATGCAACACACAGAGAACAAGGGAAGCAAGTGGAAAAGAGTAAAGTGGTATTAACATAGAAGGAAAGCAACATGAGTTACAATATTTTAAATGCTGGGCTAAAATAGGAATCCCATGTGGATAAACATTTGACCAAGTACATTTCTGAAACTGAAGATATTGCTAAATATATGTCATAATTCTGCTGGTTTTCAGTAGAGGTAAGAGATTTGTGAAAAAAATCTGACCCAGATATCAATACTGATCTATGTGAGGAGTGAATGCAGGTGCTGGTAAATGATCTGAGCAGGGCAGTTTTCTATTGGAAAACAGTGAATTCTGACTAAATTCTATGAGCATATACTGATCTCTTCAACACATGGATAAAACTGGTGGGCAGCAAAGCAGCCAGCAAGCTTGGGCTTGGCCTGTGATTTGCCCTACAGACAAATATTATTTATTTGATTTCAAAAAGTTAAAACTGATAAAGCTGTTAGGATTTGAAACACAGTTTGCATCCAGTAAACACTTTCTACTCTTGCATCAAGAGTGGATGTAACGCTGACAACCAGCACAGTCCTCTTGTATGCAGCAGACTCAAAACTAGCTTTTCCCACTTGGCAGCTTACAAGAGATGCTTCAGCAAAGTCTCCTTCCCTTCATCTGCTTTCAGGCTTTTCAGGTCAGACAGAAACCTACAAGCCCCTTAGAAGGCACCTTCCAGCAATGCTAAGACTTCTGCTCCAGGACTGCAGCCCCCCTGGCCTCAAGGTGATCATGGAGTGGCCTCTCCTGTTTCCTCCCCAGGTGGGTGCTGCACTAGAACATGAGTCTCATCACACAGCCCATGGGAGCAGATGAGTCAGAATGCCAAGAAGAGCCCAGGTGTTTTTTTTAATATTTAATCATGTAACTATTTGAAGACATTCAAATTCCTCATTCCTTTAAAATTCATGTTGCCATGAAAAACTCTGATTACACATAGTTGGTTACAATAATTTTTCTCCTAAGCATAAAATAAAGTAATAGGTGATCTTTTCAGTCACACTAGCTCCTATACCTATGCAGGTCTCATGCATGCAGTATAATATGCTGTAGGGGACCCTGAGTGATTTCTCAGCTGGAAGCTGTAGAGATACATCAGTACTATGTTATGCATTATCATCATCAGGAGCATCTTCAGTTTGAAACACAGTTACCTAATAAGTTAGAATTAATTTTGAGTGCTTCATTCCCTGAAGCCTCATTTCGATTTACTTCCATTTTTCCAAATCTATTTTAGAAAAACCTTAAAACTATGTTTGAAGGGCTTTCAAGTTAATGCATATTTTAAAAATGCCAAAGGTCTTTAGTTTGCTTTGGCACTGCAGAAAAAATACATTATAGCATGGCCAAAAACTTGTACAGGGCAGTTAGTATGGTTCATAACAGTTTTCTCCTTTAGGAAAGCCTACATGCAGTGCCTATGCTCCAGCACCTGGTGGTGTCTTCTGCCAAAATAACATGTCTCCGGCTTTGTACAGCACGGTTAAAATGTATGGTGCCAGGAGTAGCTCTCAGTACAGTAAAGGTCATCGATGTTGTAAGGGAATCCCCTCTGTTTCTATCAGGTAAGCAACCCCTGAGGTCAGCTACATCTGGCCTCTTGTCTCCACACTGGATTGTCGGTGATAAATCTTTTCCCTTCAGCACATGTGCTGAGGACTTATCTCTCTGTGATCATCATGGGAAGGCACAGGCCTTCTCAGCATGCTGCTCTTTCCTTCAGAAAGCACTGAGAGCAACACTTCTGCTTGGCATGTGGTAGCTTTATCTGAGACTAATGATTTGAGGGAAGCTTGCTTTGCCTATGTCTCCCATAAAAGCACATACTTGGTGCATTTTTCTTCATGGATCATCTCACCTTATGCAGTTCCCTTGTTCAGCACCTTCCTTTGCTGTAGTCTGTCCATCTAATGCAGACTGTGGTAATACACATCCAAATGGCAATCCATCTGCTACAGCAGCATGCTCACATCTGTGTATTAATGTGCCACAAGTCATGCCTTTCTCTAGGTAAGAAGGACAACCTCTGCAGGAGGTTAAATTCTGGCACATTGTCCTTAGATGGCCAGAAGCTCAAGGCAGAGCTTTTCTGTTTTTACAGTGTCTGCACAATTAAGTCATGGGTACTGTGTGGACAAATATGCACTGAGTACCATTTACATCAATCTGGTAGCTTAAAACCACCTTAAGGTTAGTGTAAGCTATCTTTTGAAGCTCCTGCGTACTGCCAATAAGCGTGGAGTGGCTACAGTGCAAACAAGAGTTGGATCTCTTGTATCTGCCTTTTCTTGTGTCCTTACACTTTGCAAACTCTTGCAAAGTTTGTTGAACCTGTGAGATACGGAAAGGGCATGTTGTTCTAAAGAAAACTGATTTGCTCAGAAAGAGGAAAATCTGACCTGCCTGCAGCAGAGTGTCACAAAGGACACAGAAAGTAAGATTTAACCATTAGCATAGTCCCATGTAGCACACAGGTTGGGACATGTATCACATATCCTTGCTGCCATGTAAAATGTATGTTTCTCTCTGTTCTTGTGCTCAGAGAGAAACAGGGACAGTAAAAATCACTCTGCACCTAGTATACAAAGGAAGTGATCCAATCTAGGTGTATATGGGCAAAAGAAAGCCTGTAGAACCATCACTCTGGACACTAGTGTTTAGTGCTTCTGTTTCCCAGGAGTTCTTCACAGTGTAGCCCCCAGCTCCAGAACAGGTGGAATGACTATACTAGCTGAACTTCTGTCCCCATTAAGTGTTGCATCCCATAATGACTACACAGGCAAACAAGTAGTTATGCAAAGAAATTTCTTCATTACTGAGCTCCAAGTTAAAGGTTTTTCTCCCACCCCTGGCCCTTTCTGTTGCTCTTTCCCAGAGTTTCATGGTATCTTGTAGCCCGCTTGTCTGACAGGTGTTCAGTCCTGTCCTCAAAGCCTGTGAAGGCTCCAACGGCACATTTGTGAATTTATTGTCATTAGTTAGCTCTATGACACAAGCTGCTGCTCTCTCACTTTGCTCAGTGCTTCTTTAAAGACTGATATAATGAGGAGCTTGTTCAAGAGAAGCACAACCCAAGGAAGGAGTTAGATAATTAGGCAGAGGTAGAACTTCCTTCCAACCACAAACCAACTGAAAACAAATAACTTCAAGATCTGCCTTCATCACACTAGTAATTTAAACAGGCTAGGAAACATTCCTTCTCTTTCTCTGAAAAGGCAAATTTTTTTAATTTCGGCTTTACTTCAAATTAATGGTCCCCCTTCTTCACACATACCAGGTGCATTTTCTTTAAGAGATGATCAGTTCATAGATATCTGCTTAAACCCTGGGTAATTTTCTCCATTTGTATTTTGCTCTGGTCTAATAAAAGGTGTTACCTCCATCCCTTATCTTTGTCCTCAGACATCATGCCCACACCAATGCTTTTATACTGTTTAAAATTAGACTCATATTTATATTCCAAATAAAGTTTTAATTCCTTTAAATGTTACCCTAAATATTATTTTGAAAACATGTTCTTCCGAACGCATTCAAATCTTTGAAAGTCAGAGTGATATCTTGGTTTACCAATCTGTTGAAAAAGCCTCTGTTTTCAAACTTGTAAAAGATCAAAGTCATCACTGTCAGCAAGGAAGGGTCTGGGGGAAAAAAAAAAAAAAGACGACGACGACTTTGTTACTATTAGATAGTAAGATAAAACCATAAATACACAGAAACTCTTTGTTGTTTCAGGCTTAAGATCAGAAAAACAGTTCAACCATCAAGGCAATAGTGCTGGTCTGAAGTCCACTGATAACAGCAAAAATCCTCCCATTACTTTGGCTGAAGTGTAGTAAAGCAGAAACGAAAAGGAATTTGCCTTTTCAGAGAAAGAGAAGGAATGTGCTTCTTCACCACTTCCTAGAAGCCTGATTACTTTCCCAATTAGGGCCTAGAGAGTTACATAACCTAATCTGAAAAGGTAAACAATTCAAGGTTTTGTTTCAAATAATGGAGTCCAGTGTATTAAGCTGACAATTAAAATTCTTTTTGGGCAACAAACCCATCAGTAAATGCTGAGAAGCTTTCTCAGGTGAGCAGTGTCCTTCTCAGGAGTTCACTTATGCTGAAAAACTCAGCAGGTTGATGAAACAGTCAGGTTTGTGCTACTCATCACAGTACAGCTTATGATCAAGAGCTCATGAACTTGTTAGTTTAACTGCACATACATTTCCCACAGTCATCAACCTAATTAAAAACTTGTGTTCATAGCAGACTTTAATTTGTGAGTGACAGAAAAGGAAAACCTTGTTTTCTTTTTTATAACCACCTCATGCCTCCATGGCCTCCCAGCATGGCTTAGCCTGGCCTGTAATAGCCCCCAGTGCATTCCCAGGGATGTCACTGGTAAACTCAATAGAGCTGTACCTGCTGAGGGGTTTTCTCATGCATGTGATGGAGTAGAGACCCGTGAAACTTGGCTTGAAGGATATAAAATATCTCTGCCACAGAAATAACTTTCAGCCTTTTGCAAAACTGGCTGAATTCAATGTAACGATTGCCAGATGAAAGAACTTGTGGCACATTTAATGGTAAAATGAAAGACAGGAACATTACGCGCCTGTTAGTTTGGAAAGGAAAGAACTAAGTGGATCATCTTCCTGTTCTTCTGCATAGTTTTCTTTTTCATTATATATCACATGTTCCCCTACAGCTAAGAAAGGGTCAGGAGCAAGGTCTGATACCCAGACCTTCCCATACAGAAGATGATCTTTTATAAATTGAGGGGTGGGAGTAATTATTGGCAGAAGTATTTGAACCAGTCTTCCGAATTATGTCCTCTGCATGGGTAGTGTAACTCTTCATGAGAAAATACTGAAATATAGACATTCTTGAGAAAAGGAACATGTCTTTGGAGAAAAAAAAATTCTCAGGCCCTTTTAGGAGGTCAGTAAAGTCATGAAAATCCAGCTATGAAAAGCAGTCCAGGATGGTAACAAACAAGGCCTCAAAGGGACTTGCCTAAAACCAAGCTGAAAACCTGATCCCCTCAGTTAAATGGGTTTCTGTAGCAGAAGCTTTCCTGAGTCTTTCTTGGCTTGAAGGCTGACCAGTTCACTGAGGCCACCATGCACCCACACTGCCAAGATGTTCCTCATGCAGGCCCAAAGGACAAGGAGTGCAGCACTGTGCTGCTTCTCTTGGGGTTTTCTGGAACCCAGAATTCAGCAGATGGGAAACAGGGGGGGTTAGCAATTTGTTCACATGGAAAAAAAGCAACTGCTTGTACACTGGGACAAGTGATAAAATGCTGAGTCAGAGATTGGGAAGCTGTGGAGAGGCCAGAGTATCTGTCCTCCAAATTATTGGAGAAATTTATCTACTCCCCTTTAAAAAGACTGTAGATTTTTATGACAAAACCCTTGAGAAAAATGTGGAAGCTGAAGTGGGAAGCATCTGAGTCCTTTCTTAGTTAACCTGCGTAAGAGGAAAGGCAAATTACCATGGCACATGCCCAGCTTTGCAGGGGGCCAGAATTATTCTGGCCCAGCTGTCCCACGGGGTGCTACCTGCACCCACCAGCAGTGAGGAGTGGCTCTTGATGTAACCAAGAAGAGGCAGAGGCAGGACCTGATCCCACCTGAAAATCTAAGCTCTCAGGAGCAATGAATAAGAGCTGTACCACATTAAAAAAAAAATTTAGTCATTTGCATCCTGATTGCATAGTCCCATTAGAAAGGTGCCTACAAATAATTTGAGGGCTGTGGGTTGCTTGGCAATGAAAAGGAAACAAGAAAAATCTGGAAAGCACTGCATCCCAGAGCAGAGGAAGAAGTTCCCAGGAGCACTCAATGTACTCCTGCTCAGTCCTTTCCCTCAAGGGAGACAAATGTGACACACTGGAAAATTTTTATAAGCATGTTGCATGCTCCTGTATGTCAGATCTGGGTTGTTAGAAAAAACAATCAAGAAAGACAAAAACCAACCACATTCAGTTTAAATCAGGGTGAACAGATGAGCCTTTACTGCCTTAGATGTCTGCCAATATTGGGGGGAGAAAGAGAGAGAAGGAAAGGAAGAAAGAAAGAAGGAAGAAAGAAAGAAACGTTGAAAAAACCTTGGATTAAGAAAGGAAGAATCTTGTATGACAAAATTACTTGAAAACTACACAGAAAAGGGCGAAGCATTAGTGCTGTTTCCACACTTAGATAGAATGAATCCCTGTCCTGATGAAGAATTAGACACCCGCTAGCTAATGCGGTGCTTAAACAACAGCTGACACCAGCTGGACTACAGAGACACCCCATGCTGGAAAACTGTAACCTGGGGCTTTATTCTGGGACAGGGAGTTGCTGTTTCTCTAACAAGTGTGGGCAGGAACATGTTTCTAGTGGCACTGGCTAGAGCTCTGCTCTGACATGGAAAAATTGACGATACTAACACTTATCTTTTGCAGATTGTAGCCAGAGGAAAATATACTCAGCTGACAAATAGGCAGTTCATTCTCTTTTTTGTCATAAGTATTTAGCAGAGAGAGAAAGCATTGTGTATACGCAATACGATCAGTCAATCTTGAGAAATACTATTGTTCTGAAAAGCCCAAGAGTGTTTAGAGAACTGTGTTTGTATTTTTACACCCTTTGTACACATGTGACATTTCCTGCTTTTGCAATGTAACAGCAGTATGAGGAAACATTGAGAATACTACAAGAAAAGTTGTCCCCTCACATTACCTCAAAACTCATGAGAATTTCTATGCTAAAAAGGTGAGAGAGCAAAAAAGTGGATAAACTTGAATATTGTGATGACAAAACAAGTTATTTTTCCACAGAAAATGTTACCAATAATTTTAAAACAGAATATATTGAAATGAAAGATACATGACTACCCTCTTCCTTCTCACTTCTTGCTGCCTACCCATCCAGCAAACAGCTAAGGCAGCATTCCAGGACTCAACCAGGAACTCAAGAGAAGGGTCACGTGCAGTGACACACTGCACAGAGATATTTCTTTAGTTT